AAATCTAAGAATTACGATATGATTGATTTATAAATAAATATATAAACTATTTTATTTTAAATAGTAAAAATAATTAAAAATATATTACTTTTTTATGTTAACATGTTAACAATATTTTTTATTTTTTATAAAATAAATTTAATAGATAATTATGTAATGAAAATATTAAGGTGAGGAAATAATTATTTATGTTACTTAAACAAGATTATTTTGTTGAATTTATTAAATTTTTGAAAAACAATAAGTTTTTTAATTAATTTATTATTATTATTATATCTAAATAATTTAATTATATTTTAAACATTAAATTTTTTCTAAAAATACTTTTATAAATCATATATAAATTATCAATTTTTTTAAAAAATTATTTATTTAATTTGCTATTTATTAAATAAATCATTTTTTTATTATTATATTTTTTAATTTTAATATTATTTTTATATTAACATTTATTAAAAAATTTTTTTCAACAACATTATTTTCTTTCTTCTTTTTCTGCATTCTAAGTTAATTAAATATTTCCTTTGCCAATATCTTTTTATTTTTATTGATCGCCTTTTTATAATTTTAATTTAAACAAAATATTATAAATACTTTATTATTATTAGGAGATTTCTAAAGGGCTTTAATCATTTTTTTCATTATTCAAAAGCTATTAAGAAATTTGTTTAAATACAATAGAAATATTATCACCACTTTTTGCTGAAACCTCTTAAAATATTAAACCTAATTATTAAGAGAACTTTTCTCCCTCTTCTCTAGAAACTTATCTTATTTTATTATTTTTTATTTATTAATTTTTAATTAATATTTTTACCTATTTTCTTATAAATCAATTTTATTTCCTAAAAGAATAGTTAAAACTTCATTACCTCTTTCTTCTTTTACATATTCAATCCATTTACTTAGATTCTGAAAAGATTATGCTTCTATATTAAAATTAAATATTTTATTATTTACATTTAATAATTATTTTTAAATACTAGTAACATCATAGGTTAAAATAGCTGCATCGGAATCCCTAATATATGAAGGAATAAGACTTCTAAATCTTTCTTAACCTGCAGTATCCCATAATTATAATCTTATTGTTTTGTTATCTAAATGCAAAGTTTTAGCTACAAAATCAATTCCTACTGTTGGCTTTGTTTTTATAAAAAAATTATATTTTTAATTTCAAAAAGTTATACTTGCTAAGTTCCAACGAAATTATCATAAATAAAACGATTAATAATTGAAGTTTTACCAACTGATTAATCACCAATAAATACTAATTTATATTTTTTAACTTATCTTGTAATACTTTATTCGGTCATATTTAATATAAAATTAATAACTAAAAAATAAAAATATTAGTATATAAAATATAATTATTAATAGAATTAGAAATTGATATAAATTATTTTATCAAATAAAAATTAATATTAGTTTTTAATTAAATTATTAAATATATAAATAAGTTTATAATTTTAAAAATTTAAGAAAACGAAATAAATAGTTATTATTAATAATTAGAATAATTACTTAAAAGTTAATATTTTATTTTTTATTATCTATTTACAATTTATTTTAAAAAAGTTTAGGATTCTTTCAATATTTTTATTTTTTATTTTTATAAAAATAAAGAAAAACTTTAATAATTAATTTTTTTAAAAAATTAATTAATAAAGCTCTAAAATTTATTTAATTAATATCTTAATTTTTTATCTTTTTAAAATAATTTAATTAATTCATTTTGAAATTTTATTTAATTCAATGATTTTTTGTTTAAAGCTTTCTATAAAAATATGATTGTAATATAATTAATAAAAAGAAAAAGAAATTAATAAGAAACATAATATGATAAATAAAAATAAAAATTTAGTTAATTATAAATTATCAAAAATTTATTATAAATAAATATAATGATTTTTAATCAAACATAAACTAAAAAAAATATTTAAAAATGAGTAAATCTTAAAAAAAATATAATTTAGAAATTCATTAAGAATTTTAACAAAAAGTTTTTAAATTTAATTAAGGCAAATTCAATTGTTGATATAAATCAGGTAGCAACAATATTGCAAGTTTAAAAAAGAAGAATATATGATATTACAAATGTTTTAGAAGGTAATATATATAATTATAAATATTAATATAGTATAAAGGTGTAGGATAAATAAGAAAAATTTCAAAAAATAAATTGTAATGGATTAATAATTCTATATACTAAAAAGAATATAATCAACTATTAAACTAATAATTTTAATAAAATAAAAATTTAAAATAAATTTAGTAAGAAATAAAATATAATATTTAACAAAATCAAAGCTATTGCTATTTTAATTAAAATGATGTAATTTAAATAGCTAAAAAGTTTAAACAAAATATAATTATTTTAACACCAGAAAATAGTGAGATAATTGTTAAAAAGACTAAATTAAATATTTAAGATGAAAATTAATTCTAATATTATTTAGAAATTAAATCTTTTGAAAATGAAATTCAAGTATATAATACAAATTAAATAATTAAATAGAAAGATATTAATTTATTATGAACTCCTGTTTCTTAATAATAAAACTTAAACTTTTATTATTATTTTGAATGAAAAATATAAATACATTTTATAATTTATATAAAGAATATTTTATTATATTTAGTACTAAAAATTTACTTATTTATATATGTTCAAAAAAAATTATTTTTAATTGTTTTAAAATTTTAATAAAAAGTTGTTATTACTATAAAGTATTATATAAAATTAAAAATATTTTTAATTTTTAAAAGATTTGAAAATATATACTATTTTTTATATGAATTAATTATTATTTTTAATATTTAATTTTTAAAGCAAATTGCTATTAATAAAATAATTTTTTTAGTCAATATTATTTTTAATGTGTTAACATTTTATATATATTATAAAAAGATATTAATAATTTATATATATTATTTTTCTATATAAAATATAAAATAGTTTTTTATTAAATTTTATTTTTATTAATACATATATTTTATTGTTTACTTTTATTTAAATATTTATATATTTTCACATTCCTTATGATAATACTGCATTACATCTTACTATTTGTGGTCCATATTCATAATAGTCTTTTCTAGTCTTACATATATTTTAAAATCCAGGCTTTTTATTGATATAAAAATAATAAATGATTTTGTATAATTTATAAACATTACATTAACTGCCATTAAGCTTCCTCCTTGCCATACAGAAAATCTTTAATAAGGATTTTAGGCAACTTTTACAGAAATTGGTTCAGGAATTTTATTATTATTCCTAATAGAAAATCTTTATAATCTATTATCCACTCTTTATTGAAGCTATTTTTATAATCTAGTCGAAAATCCATCAAATAAAGTTGAACCCCCAGATAGAACTATATTCTATAAAATATAAAAATATATGTAATAATAATTTTTATTTCTACATTATATAAATTTCTTCTAGTATCTATAGGGGATCCTTAAATAGCATTATCAATACATTCATCAATTGACATTCTCCAGTTTGAGTCAAAAAACTCCTATTTTATATAAAATAAAAAATTAAAGTTCTTTATTATGTATAATTTTTACTGGATAGAAAAACATTTCAGGCCCTAAAAATCTTTCATAACCAATATCAATACTATACTTCTAATTTTAAAAAATTAATAAAAATTTAATTAAATATTTAGAAATTATTACCTTTTTATCTTTGCTACTTTCGAATGAGAACTATTTAAATTTATTTGACTATTTGCCACTTTTAGAAGGTTTATCAAAGTTTGTGAATTCTTATAATAATCCATTTTCAGCAACATATCCATATTTTTCTTTAATTTCATTAGAAACTCTTGTTAAATCCACAATATCAATTTTTTCTCCTCTATCCCTTATCATTTAAGAAATAAACTTAGTTATATCTCTTCCTGCTAAAGGAATATGTTTGATACAACTTCCAATTACAAATCCATCACTCTTTTTGTAAAATATAAAAATGATTTAACAAAAATAAATTACCACAGGAATTATATGAGTTACACCATCCCCAGAATCTAAAACACAACCAGTAAGTTGATTTCCAGTACTACTATGTTATTCGTGTACTTAGTTTGAATACAAAGCTAAAACTGCTTGTACTCCAATATAAATACTATTTGCATTAAAAGTTTCAAAAAATATTTCTGCAATACTTTCCCTATTTTCGGGAGGATTCATTGGTGGTTCTGTTAATATAAAGTTTGTTTCATCAGGATCACATCTTAAATAATCAAAAATGCTTTTATGCCAAAATTTTTCCATAAGAATCCAATCTGTAATTATACCACTTTTTATTGGATAAGTCTTTACTTACTATTATAAAGCATCGTTTCCTATACAAAAGTCAAGTTATTCATTGTAATTTTTACTAACTTAAGTTGAGTTCTATTATTAATGTTAATTATTTATAGTTAAACGACATATAAATTACTTTATCACTATTATCAGATATAACTGTAGGTATATCCCATGTTGGTTCAATATTTCCTGCCCAACCCATTTTTGTGTATCCTGTTCCATTATCAATTATTGCTGTCTTAATATTATACATTTAATTGGTTTTTTTTTTTTTTCCTTTTTTAATGATATTTTACAATTATTAAATGTTTAAAAATAAAATAAAAATATTAAATAAATTTTTATTTTAGTAAAATTTCTGATATTAAAATCATTTATTATAAATAATACAAAAAAAAATATTTAATTTACTTTTTATCTTTTATAAATTTCTAATTTATGTTTTTTTATTTAATTTAATTATTATTTTTATAGTAATTACATATTATTTCCAATTTAAAGATATCTTAAAAAAATAAGATAAACATGATTTTTTTCAAAAAGCAATAATAAACAAATTTTAAATATTAGATAAAAGATAATAATTATAATTAAAAACTTATATATATATTATATAAAATAATTATTAAAAATTATAATTTTTTTTTTAATAACTATTATTTAATATTTAAATTTTTTTTTACTTTTAAATGGAAAACAAGGTAGAAAAATTAGAAAAAGAATCATAATAATTATAAATTTAAATTGATTAAGCCAAAAAAAAATAAACAAAAAGTAAAATGAATTACAATAATTAGAATAAGAAATTGAATAAATTTATCATGATTTATACTTTGTAAATACTTAGATTTAATTATTAGAAATATAAGGTAATGCCAATAGATTAGATTAACATGAAGAAGTTAATGCTATGGTTAATCAAAAAAAGCAAATATTAATTAAAAAAGAAGAAAAGACAAGGGAAAAATGTAGGTAAACACTTGAATAATTTTACATGATTAAATTCAAAGAAAATAGTCAAACAATTTTAAATTATTAATAATTTAAATTAGAACTACAAAGTGTAAAAGTGACTTTTATCTTAGATGAACCTTCAGAAAAGCTTGCAATAAAAGAGAAAAACAACGAAATTGGAGGTGTAGAATTAAATTATAATGTACATACATTTAGCATTAATAAAATGACTAAAATATCCTAAATTCTAAAATGTGCAATTAATTATTTTAATATTACAAAAAAAAATTAAGAAAAAGTTTGTTTAACTGATACAAACTTTAACGATTTATCTATTATTTTAGAAAATACTGTGGAATCTTATTTTGCTTCTATTTATGTAATTCAAAAAAATAGATTATTTATATCTTTTTTTTAACAAAAAAAATATTTATATTTTTTTTTAAAAAATAAATTATTTATATCTTTTTGTTAAATAAAGGATTAATGTTCTTATGCGGAATTATATCTAAAACTAAAAAATGAAAACTAATATGTACTCCTTGATAAATAATAAGACTCTATAAAAATAGGAAATGAAAATGACATTGACCCTACAAAAAGTGAACAAGAAAAATAAAATATTGCTAAAATTTTTAGCAATTTTGAATAAGTTTTTGAAGGGTTAAATACTTATAAATAAGATCAATCTGATTAAGTAGAGAAAACAATTAATTAGGAATATCCAAAAAAGTAAATATTATTATATTTTATGTTAATTTTTTAATATTAAATTTATATATATGTTTAGCTTATGGATTGCTACATTGTAATTAGTAATTATATTTGTACTTATATTTCTACTTGTTTCAAATTTATTACTTAATATAGATTATTATAAAAGTGCATAAATGAATACTGCCCACAAATAATTATATCACTTTAAAAATATTAATTCCAAGCCATTATAATTAATGGATTTTTTAGACATTATGCTTCCTAATTATTTAAAATTACATGTATAAGGAGTTGACTTACTTGACTGTGATAACTATATATAAAATGAAAGAAAATATAAATTAGTAAATGCTGATATACAATCTATTGGGATAGTTCGATTACTTCACGTTTAAACCAAAGATGTTATTTGTAAAGATTAAAAAGGTCATTAGTGTTCATAAAATATATATACTTAAAACGATGAATATAAAGAAGATTTAGGACCAAATTCATATTAAAAATGGTAAAGTGCAGAAGAAACTTAATTTGGAAGTTTTCAAGGTAAATATTTTTGAAAAATTATAATTATTACTAAATTTAATTTAAATATGATTTTTCATAACAATTATTTAAATATCTAATTAATTATTTTATTTTATTTTTTTTTAAAAAAAAGGTTTTGTTTCAAATTATCCAGGTAGTGGCTATGTTATAGACATTGACCCTTATTAAAGTTATTAAGATATATATTGTGAAGATAAACTTGAAAAAAAAGAAAGTGATATAGGTATGGTTTTAAGATAATTGGTCAATTAAAAAAAATCTGATTTTTTTACTTTTAGAACTTAAATAATAGCTTTGTATTAACTTACATATGATATAAATAAAAAATATTTTACGGTAGAATAATATATAAAATTAATATTTAATTATTATTTAATAAAAGTCTAATTATTATATTTCTGAATATTCTAGTTCAGGAATGCTATTAGAAAATTAAGATGTGATAACATTTAAATTATAATATAAAGATAATCTTAATGATGAAGAATAAAATACTTATACAATAAATATAGTTATATAAGTAGTAAATGCAATAAATTTTATTATTTATTTTATTTATCACGTTTATGAAGTTTTATGCCTTTACAAAGTTTAAAAATAATTTAATAGTAAACATAAATGGTATATGAATATTCCAAATTTTTTCAATCTCTATTTTCTAATTAGCGCATTTATTTTATCCGGAATAAACTATACATAATACCTTAGTTATGATCATCCCGATATGTCGATGGATGAAATATTAAAAACAAAAGGATATATAAATTTACATATGTATTTTTTTATCATATTTATTAAATTATTTTTTCTTAAATAATAAAATAGATATGGATAATAATTAAAGTTAGCTAAAGATTTAAGAGCTGTAATTCTATTATTTTTAGTTTTATAATTTTTCGGAAATATGAAACTAAGTAAAGGATTATAAACATTTTAATTGGTAATAAAAAACTGTTATAAAGATTTAGTTGTTTGTATAATTTTAAATACTATTATTATTGCCTCAGGATCATTTGTCTTATCAAGAGTTTATGGCTCTATTATTGAAGAATTTAGTTTTTATATAACAAGTATTTATTAATTTACTTATACATTCTTTTATGGTGATTATATTATTTAGTAAAAAATGACAGATTATAACTTTTTTATTTCATATTCTATGATTATTTTTGTTATCTTTATTATATATTTTGGGTGTGTATCATTTGTTTTTAGTGTTATTTTTGAAGGACATAGGCTTATAATGGTAAACAAAAATGCATTCATATCACAAACCTAATTTATAAGCGATTTGAAATAAATAAAGTTGCATTTCTAAAATGGTTTTAGATTAATCATAAGATGCCTATTTAATAATGATAAAAATAAAAAAAATGTGTAAAAAAGTAACAATAAAAAGTAAACTAATAATGGAGAAGACAATAAATAGCTTATAAATAATAAAGAATAATCAAAAAAATGAAACAAACATCAAGGATCTAAAAATACTTCCGAAAAAGTAAATTGTATAGTATTTAACAATCTAACTCAGAAGATCGTACTTTAAATAAAAAGAAATATATTATTTTATTTAATAAATTATATTTAATTTAATTTTTATGAAAAATTTGTTTTATAATATATTAATTTATAAGTAATACTTTTTAATACAATTTTTAAAATTATACTTAAATCTATGTAATTATTTTATATTATTCTATGTTTTCCCTATAGAAGCTCTCACTATTTTTCTCGAAATTAACTTTATATTAAGATAAAAGGAGAGTGATTAGAGCTATTGTTTTTTCCAATAATAACATTTTAATGGGTGGAAGCTTCTAAAGAGAAAATTTATATAATAAAACATTTATTTTTACCAAAAAATACTAAAATATTATTTTATTGCACTAACAATTATAGATTTTAAAATAATAATGTTTTTAAATTAAAAATAAATCCTTAAGTTTTTCTAATATGTTATTTTATTTTAAAAATAGCCTAATAGATCACTTCTATATTTCCATAGTGCTTTAAAAAAGTGGAAAAACAGTTTTATTATTTAAGTATTCTTAAAGGATGCCAACTATAATTACTGAAAAATTAAATTTATATTAATATTGATTTAAACTCTAATGATAATTTTTTATTTAGGTTTTACTTTAATTTAATATTTTAAACATTATAAATTTATTTTTTATATAGTTTGAAAATTCGATAAAATACTTATTATTCGAAATTTTGATATGTACTAAAAAAATTGAATTTTTTATAAATATTTAATACTTTTAAATAAAATTTATAAAATTTGATAAAAATTTAAAAGTTAATAATTTAAAACTATTTTGATTATTCAATATTCATTTATCTTAAAACTAATATACACATATATCGATTGATTATTAAACTAATAAAAGTTAGCAAACGAAATAATGGATAAATAAATAAATTAATAAAGAATAAAAACTAGATATAAAATTTATTATTATATATTTTATATTTCTATATATATATATTTAGTTTATATTATAACATTATATTAAAGATATAAATTAATTTAATAAATATTTTTTTTATAAAATTAATTAAAACTTTCGAAAAATCAATGTAATTTAATACTATAAAAAAATATATGTAAATATTTTGGTACTCAAGATATAACTAGTTTTTACATAAAATATGCGCTAGCGTATGTTTATGAAATATAGAAAAAAAAGTTTTATCATCAAATAATGTAAAAAAAAAAAATATTTCTTTCTGCCATTAATATAATTATTATATTATTGCGCATATTTTATTTCAATAAGAATTATATTTTTAAGACCGGAATCTTCACATATATCTTGCTTTTAAAGTGAACAAAACTTTTTTATTTTTAATGGTATGTGATAGTATTCAATTAAAATGACTTTTTAATTTAAACATTTTCGTATTAATCTTTTATTCTTCAAAATATTATAATTATTCAGATTATTTTAATTTAATAATGCTATCTATCTATTAAATTAATTAACTTTATTTGTATATTCTTTTTTATATTATTTTTATAAATTATAATACTTTTTTAATTTTTCATATATTATTAATAAATTAATTTAATTGTTAATTTTGTTTCTTTCTATTATATATGTGGAAAAAATATTAATTTTTAGATTATTAAAATAATTCATAAATATTAATAAAAAAAATTATAAAAAAAAAAACCAAAAGAATACAAAACATATATAATAAGATTTATTTTAAACTAATAAATGGAAATCAATTAATAAGACATTAAAGATACATAATAAATGTAAAATAATATAAGATAAAATAATAATATATAAAATAAAATTAAAAAAAAATTAAAATTAAAAAATTTAAGATAAATAATATTTTATATTAAATATTATATAATCAATCTTTATTTTTAGAGTCGAATTAAAAGTAGTTTAGTGGAACAAAGATTCGCATGGTTTATTTGATTATGAAAGTAAATCAGTTGATTTAAAACAAATAAAAATAAATTAAACATGTTAAATTTATTAATTAAGTAAAAAAATTAATTAAATAAAAATAATAAATTTTAATATTTTAGAAAAGCCGAATTCAGATTAATTAAAAGAAGAAATAATTTTAATAGATTAAAATAATAAAGAAAAATTAAAAGAAATGATTACAGAAAATTCATAATTTTTAACATAAATTTAAATAGAAAAAATAAATGAAAAAATTTATTCATATACATTAAACCCATTTTATGAAGACACATATAATAAAATGCATAGCAATAATAAATTAGAATAATTTCTAATAGTAAGAAGTTTAAAAAATTAACAAAACTAATAAAAAGGTTATAGCTTATAAATTGATGATGTTGTAAAATTTGGAAGAATTGAATATTAAGTAATATAAATGAGAACAGAAGAAAGCAATATTATTTAAAATCAAACGGTAATATTTTATTAAATTTTAACCATTATAAATATAAATATATTAAATTATATTAAATTATATTAAATTTAATTTAATTATTATTTATATTATATTTTTTAATTAATTGATTTACCAATTATTTAATTCATATATATTTTATATTTATTTATTGATTTATATTTTTTATTAAATAATTAAAAATTAAACTATATAGCAATTTATATATTTAAATTTTTTATATAAACTTTTATTTCTTATATATAAATTTTTATATGTTTTAATATATTATTTTATAGCCTTATGAACAACTAGATCTTATATCTATAAAAAATAGTAATGAAAATCCTATAGTATGTAAAATATGTTTAAGTGAAGATTCAACTCCTGATAATTTTTTTACAAATATTTGTTAATGCAAAGGATCATGTGAATATGCACATTTCTAATGTTTAAAACTATGGATTTAATCTAATTAAAAATATAAATCAAACAATAGTATGATATATATTTAATGGAAAAAAAATAGATGTGAGCTTTGTGGTACTGAATATCCTAAATTTCTTAGACATAATAATTAAATGTACAGTTTAATTAATTTTGATATACCTGATTGCATTCCCTACATTATTCTTGATTCTATAGGAAACCACAATAAAATTTCTAAAAACATATTTATTATATAAGTATTAAACCCAGAAATTGAAATAAAAATAGTAATATATAATGATTTTCTTTACATATAATTTTTATTATTAAATAGGGTAGAGGTAATTAATGCTTATTAAGAATTGCAGATATATCAGTTTCTCGAATACATTCTTCTATAAAATATAAAGATAAGTAGTTCATAATTTCTGATAATAATAGTAAATTCGGAACACTAATAAGATTGAAAAGTAGTTTGCAAATAAGCAATGAAAAAAAGCAATTTAAATTGGAAGAATTGTTATTACATTTGCTCTTAAGAAAAGTTCAAATCTAAAAGAAGGAAATTAAATAATAGAAACACATACATAAAATAATAAATAATTATTAAATAATAATTTATAAATAGAAGCAATTTAAAACTATAATTAATAACTAATAATAAAATAATTATCAAAATTTAAAGAATAATGATATCATCTATCAAGATAACTTTATTGATGAAGAGATTAAATAAAATCAAAATAATTTAAATATGGATTGTTAGATAAATCTTCAAAACAATAATGATAATGATAATGATAATGATAATGATAATGATAATGATAATGATAATGATAATGATAATGATAATGATAATGATAATGATAATGATAATGATAATGATAATGAAAATGAAAATGAAAATGAAAATTAAAATTAAAATTAAAATTAAAATTAAAATGAAAATGAT